GAAATTTTTTCTTTGTCCTGAACGATCTGTTTCTTTTGGTTGTATTTATGCTGTAAATTTTCCATAAAGGTCCTGTGATCTTTGGTTTTGCAATCATAATGAGGGGAAAGAAGAGTGATTTTATGGACCCAAGCATAGCTGCTATCTCCAGTTGTTGCCTTACCTTTGGATATGTGTGTTTACCAAATGCCATGAAAAAGGGGGATTGGCCAGCTCACATCAAGACTATGCCCTAGTTTCTCCAGACAGTTCGTTCAGAACCCCATCATTTGATTTGTACTTGCCTGGGATTAATGCCCTCCTGCTAGCAAGCCTTCCCACGTAGACACTTAACTAAACCCTTTCTGCAGCTTTACTTTTTATTCAACTTCGGTAAGAGCCGCCTGGGTTTACTGTCTCTTTCTTAAGCTCCTTCAGGATATTTCAGACTTTGTTTCATCCATGAACACTCTCCCATTGGCTTTTGTTGAATCACTGGTCTGCTGCTAGCCTCTTCTCTTTCCTGGGTGTATGTTTCTTTTCTAATTTAAATAGGGGTCTTGGGAAGGAAAAGAGGGAAATGTGCTCACTATCAGCTCGAACCAGAAGCCCCACTTTTGATTATGGTGTCTAATTTCTGGGCTCTACAAGCTTCTTCCATCCATTCTCCCTTCAGATGCAAGGGATCAGAGTGTCCATGTTGTGCTTTTGCCTCTGGTAACAGTAGTTCACAGGGGACAGGGAGAACAATGATAACACAAAAAACAAAATCCTCCTCAAAGATAATAATCAGTCTCTGAGAACTAGTATTTTTGCATTTTTCTTGTAAGTCAAAGATCAACAATCATAATGGCAAATACCCAAGAGAGAGGCTGCATTGGCAGTGTTGTTTTTCTGTTTGCCCTTTTAGCATGCATTCCATTCATTCAACAAATTACTGGGTGCGGGACACTGGAATTTCAGCAAGTGTTTCCCTGTGTAATTAAAGACAAGGGGGAAAATGTCTAGATCAGTATTTCTGAGTCTTTTCCTTCTAATGAAATACAATGGCAATTCCATATGCACTGTGACCTCTCTTAAGGTTGTTCTTGAATATACAGCTCCAAATATGGATGGTATTGATTCCTTAGATGAGGGCATTAAACCTACCCTGAACGTATTTTATATTTTGTAATCAAAATATGGAGAGAATGGGACCAAATAGTTATTAACAGGGTTATTCAGGAAATCATGATCAATGTAGCTGTGGACAAGTGTCATATTTGACTCTAGTGCTTCTGGACCAACCTCAAAAAGGCCTTTGCAAACTCGTGTCTTTAAACTCCGTGTAGTTGAGTTATTGTAGTTCCAAAAAGGTTTAGAGAAATGCTATATAGTGTTCCTTAATACTTATACCTCAGGTACTACTCAAGAGCAGATGCAGAAAATGCCATGCGGTACATAAACGGAACTCGTCTGGATGACCGGATCATTCGCACAGACTGGGATGCAGGTTTTAAGGAGGGCAGGCAGTACGGCCGTGGACGGTCTGGAGGCCAGGTATGCAGGAAGGTTCTCTGGGCTCAGCCTTTACCTGGGATTCCAGTCATAATGACAAGTGTTTTGTCTATTTGTATTTGCTCTTTTGAAAATAACTTTGTGGCTCTAACTTGGGCTTGAAGTGAATCTCAAATCGCCCATTGGGATTAGTAATTACTTTCTTAACCAATGCAATGGTATATTCTGTACATTACTGGACTTTTTCTAGAGGTTAGATATTTTCCACCTGCAAAAGTGTCTAGAATGAAAGCAAAATGTGCCCTAACTGGTTTGGCTCAGTGGATAGAGTCCACCTGCGGACTGAAGGGTCCCAGGTTCGATTCCGGACAAGGGCATATGCCTGCACTGCAGGCTTGATCCCCAGTGGAGGATATGCAGGAGGCAGCCAATCAATGATTCTCTCTCATTGATGTTTCTATCTCTCTTTCCCTCTCCCTTCCTCTCTGAAATCAATAAAGATATATTTTAAAAAGCAAAATGCACTGAAATGAATTTTGTTTTTACTTTAAAATAGCCTAATTTAAGTACCTTGCAATGAGCTATTTTTGAATGATGGCAAATGAGTGTACACCTGATGTTTGGTAAGAAACAAAACAAGAAAACCAAACTACGAGGTTGTCTGAGATAATTCTGCAAGGCAGTTGCTTTAAAAAATTATATCCTGCTTGAATGTTCATTCACATTATATCTGAAAAGGCTTGGCTGTTTGACATATTTATGGGAGGCATATTTGTTACACCAATCTTCTCTATATTGTAACCTGTGTTCTTTTCATTAAGGTACGAGATGAGTATCGACAAGACTATGATGCTGGGAGAGGAGGCTATGGAAAACTGGCCCAAAACCAGTGAGCAAAAACCATCATGAAAAACTCACTCCTTTGGCCTGCTGAATTTGATGTATGTTACCTAAGGTCTGCAAACCTGCCATTTTTACAAATATTTGATCACTGTCTCTACTGAGCCAGATACCACTTCATGGCTTTCCTCTGAAAATTATTAAAGAACAGAATCCAAAAGAATGCCTTTAATTCTAGTCTTAGAATATTGGGCATGTGTAAGGTTACTGGAATGATTTTCTTACCAGGTCAAAAATCGTGTTCCTTGGCAACGGAGTTTATCTATAATGTTGATTTATCAGCCAAAACACCGCACGTCTTTTAGGAAAATTGGAAAAAGTTTACAATTTTGTTTACTGTGTTTGTGTGTAAGCAGGTTCATGGTTTACACATTGGGGCCTGTAATTATCTAAAAAATTTTTTAGTTGCCTTGAGATAAAGTTTAATAAAAGGAGTTTTGTTATATTCATATCTTTGCTCTAAATTAGGGACAGACAACTGAGTTTTTCCCTATGTTGAATGCTAATCTCTAAAGGCAAACTGAGGGAGTCAAAAGAACTTCCTAAAGAGCTGGTGCAAAAGTAAGCCTTAGACAGTCCCAGGGTGTACAACCTGCTCACATGCTTTAGATGTCAGGAAATTAGGTACAGGACTTGAAGGGTATTTACTAAGCATATTTTTTAAAAGGTGTGTTTTACCTAAAGCTAAAAAAAAGCCAGGGTTGGTTTGTATTATGAAGAACCTCAAATACTCTAAGGGAAGTGGGGGACATTGTCAGTAGGAAATGGGATGAAATATCAGAGGACACTAGTTAAAACATTGTCTTGACATGTTGAAGGTTGCTGTGAGGGCCATCAGATTTATTGTTTTCGTTTTCAGAGTGATCTTGGGACTAGAGTAGGTCTAAAAAAAGAGCTTGAAGATTGAGAGACTGCCTAACGAAAAACGATCAGAAATGCTTTCCTCAGGAAATATGTTTTGGCCAATTGTCATGTTGAAGTCTGTCTGGTTTTTTTACTAATTGTGCTTACTGAATTCAGAGCCTCAATAGCAACAGTCTCCACAGAGAGGAGTCTAGAGTATTTACTTGGCATTTGTAAGGCAAGAGGCGATTTCTCTCTAATAGTATGTTGAACTGTTGTTCTTTTTTAATTTATTGGGGTGACATTGTTTAATAGGATCATAGAGGTTTCAGGTGTAGATTTCTAGGATACAAGATCTATATATTGTATTGTGTGCCCGCCTCCCAAAGTCAAATCTTCTGTCACCATATATTAAGTACCCTTCATCCCCACCCACCCATTCCCTTTGGCAACCACTACACTGCTATTTGTGTCCATGAGTTTCAGTTTTATATCCCACACATGAGTGAAACCATATGGTTCTTAGCTTTTTCTGACTGGCTTATTGCACTTAGCATAATATTCTCTAGATCCATCTGTGTTGTCACAAATGGCAGTATTTTTTTTTAATGGCTGAGTAGTATTCCATTGTGTGTATGTACCACATCTTCTTTATCCAATCCCCTATCGCAGGACACTTTGGTTGTCTCTATTCATTTAAAACTGCTAATTTGGTATAATTTTTCCTGACATAAGTGGCATTTTTTCATCTAGCAACAAAGTATCTCCAAACTTCTTGTAGTTTGTGGGGCTGAAGTATCTCAAATGTGAACATCTTTGACACTAGGTAAGTATAGGTTTTCTCACTACATTGAAACCGGTTATTTGAATTTTTATAAGAGCTATAACTTCTTGTAAGTGCTTAAGAAAAAAACATTTGCAGATATTTTAATTTTATGAGGACATACTATTGACTTTTTAAATTTCTTTTTACACTATAGTTTGAGTTTAATGTATTTTATATTCTTTTTTTAGTAAAACATAACTCAGATTTCTACAGACCTTAAAACCACAGACAGTGGTTCTACATGGAATTGTGACTTCTGTAACAGATTTCAATAAAGTTGGACCAACTTATCCTTGTCTGTGCCCATTTCCTCGCCTATAAAGAGGGACAGTGGAACCATCTTACTCTGGAATATTTATGATTACGTTTGGGGGAGAAATCTACGAATAATGTGCAGAATTTGTATGCCCATTTTGCTATGACAGTTAACTAGTATGGTAGTCACTAGCCGCATGTAGCTAATTAAATTAAAACATTCAGTTCCTCATTCACACTAGCCACATTTCAAATGCTCAGTAGCCACATGTGGCTAGTGGCTGCTGTATTGGATGCAAATATAGAACACTAGAGGCACAGTGCATGAAATTCATGCATGGGTAGGGTCCCTAGGCCTGGCCAGTGATCAGGGCCGATTGGGGCCTTCCTTCCGGCTGCTGACTGCTGGCCAGGGCCTTCCTTTGTTCCGCGCCAACCCCTGGTGGTCAGCACTCATCATAGCGAGCAATCGAACTCCCAGTCTCTGGTTGAACTCCCAAGGGGACACTCTGCATATTAGCCTCATATATGTAGATCCCATCACTGCAGACAGTTCTGTTGGACAGTGCTTTTTAAGGACAGGCTGCTAGGAGCCTACATTGGTCATATTCATAAATGAGTGCCGTCACGACTGAAATGTCACTTGGAAAAATTCCTATTCCCCAAACAGTATATGTTATTCAATACAAGAGCACACACATTTATAAAGGCATTTCATTTATTTTTCAAAAAAATATTTTTGCTAGAAGGTTTGAGTCATTTTACATGATCACAACCTTTAAATAAATTTTTTCTGACCAAAAGGTATGACTTAAATGAACAGCTTGCCTAGGTCTGCTTTTGTAATACCCCAATACAATTAGCACTTCTCTGATGGTATTCCCTAGGCCTTCTTAATTAATTGTCTACTGGCCAGGAGGCAGAGCCCAGCACATAAAGTATGTGCTTTATAATTACAGATTAGTTTGGTTTCTTAACATCAGTAAGCAGAGCAGGTAGTCAATATATCTAATTCACACTATTAATACACTTTCTCGCCTGATGGTTCTGATCCACCCAGAACTCCCAGTTATCTCTTTTAAACCAGTGAACCACAATTAATTGCAGAGAAAGGGCAGCTCAACTTAAGACTATTGCTGGCTGTTCTTGTTTTCCAACTATGAATTCAAGATGACCAATGTTACTCATATTTAATGATAAATAGAAAATACAATGCAAAGCCACAAAAGGGATTTGGGGACTCTGAGGAGCAAGTGCTTTTTCCTGTAGGAGGTTCCTTTCCTTAAGAGAAGGTTTGTTCTCTACAATTCTTGCGAGAGTTTAACTAAAAGAATTAAATCTACATTCATTGCTATACATTTAACCAAAAAAAAAAAAAAAAAAACCCATTGGAAAGCAGCAGCTACAGACTGGTAAGTTTGCTGATGGAGAAAACTGGGCAGCTTGTTGAAGACGCATCATAAGTAGCTTTTAGTTTGTACAAGGCCTGCACTCAAACCCCTAAAGCATAAGGTCTACCCACCTTGTGGGCAACAATTCAGGGCCAAGTTAGTGACAGTAAAACAATGTCTGTCCCTTTCACCAACAGCCTAAACTGTATTTCAAACATGTCTTTGTTGCAAGGAAGCAATTATTGCAAACATCAAGAAAAAAAGGCCATTCTAATGTAGGACTTGGCCTAGAGGTTTATAACTAATCACAAGTGGAGAACAAGTGACTATATGTGCTAAAACCAAGTTTCATGAATGCAGAGAAACATTTTAATCAGACTTGAAATATTTGTAATGTACGCTAAAGCATGCTGAGCAGTGCATCTCAAGGTGTCCCATAAGCTGGAAGTGAATGAGAAATGACTTGAACAGCTCACTTTAGGTTCTCTATGAACATCCCTGCAAGCCTCAAAGTGGAGATGATGACAGTTTCTCAGATTGGAGGAAATGGCAACTCAGGCTTTGGGCACTAATTAAGATTCTTCATGCCGAATTCTGTCAGTAAGGAAGTGAGAGATGGAGCTCTAAAGTATACGATGTTTTGAGTCAATAGCCTAGTTATTGGCTACTTTGTAGAGCTACAAAAAAAGTTAGGTAAATGTATCACAAATTTGAAAAATCTCATTTTGCATATTTTATGTCTGAAAACTGAAAATCTCAAGAAGTCCTCCCCATTTTAAATTGTAATTTTTTCTAATGCAGACACAACCCTATCTATAGCAGCATAAAGTGCCTCTAATCTCATTCTTTCTAAAGACTTGAAGCACAATAAGAAATACTGACCTGGTTTTATATTAAAGAATTTGAGTCTTGGGGGACTTAGGAAAGTGCTGAGGCTGTTTGCACTGTAAACACTGGTGGTGGTGCCTGGTCTGTCTGGGGAGGGAACCCTGCATGTAAACGTGTCTGACTCCACCCGCATCTGCTGGCAGTCCTACCTTATGGCCAAGTTAAACTGCACATTTTAGCTTTTTATTTTCAACACCTAACTAGGCATAGATCCCAAGTGTCTTCTGCCATTTTCTTGGTATTTTTCTGTACAAACTTCTAAGTTTCTTACATACGTATCTGTTGTTTTACCTGCCCAGTTCAGAACGGATAATTGGGTAGTTTAACATGCATCTTTTATTTCCTTTCAAATGCCACAAATAGCTAGACTGAAGATGCAAGATCCATTACATTAACCCTAATGCAGCCAAGTGTAAGAATAGGGCCACTTCTGCCTTTCTCCAGAAGATGAGGTTCATAGAAGCCAAAAAAAAGAGGACTCCTTGATCAGGCAGAGACCAAATGAGGAGCCCTGCATGTTGCTGAGATCACGAAAGAGCTAAGGGAGGGGGGGGGGGGGGGGGCGGCGGATAACACTTGCTGTACTCCTGAGGAATCAAGTCTTCTCTATTAACCGTTCTCTTCCCGCACCCACCTGAAAAAGACCTGAAGCCACTCTTCAGTTTTGAATGTTTATATTTTAAATACCCTTGAAATAGAAAGGTATTTGGCAAATCCTAATTTCTTATGGGAGATAATACAAGGGAAGTGTCAACTTGTAAATTACTTTTAGGCTGAATTCTCATTTGTTTGACCACTTGTTTTAGATACTAAGTTTTTTAATGGGTCAAAAACAAAAATCTAGGGAATTCAATGTTCCAGCAAAAGCCTTTATAAGACTTAGGCATTTATTATAATTCTTCTCACATGTGCCTCCAGGAAGAGAACATGCCAGTTAGATTTTGGCCACTTCCTTCTCACCCTTCAAAAGGAATTCAACTCACGTTCCCAGACTCAGAGAGGAAAGTCAGTGAAAGGTACTGCTGGTAAAAGTAAGACAGGACTGGCTTTGTCAAAACAACTAGCTATCCTCTATGCCCAGGGAATACCTCATACTCTCAGAGTTACGTTGTATCAAAAACATCCCATATTTTTTAGGTTTTGGGATTATATTCGAAACCTGTATTCAGTTCATATCTAAGTTTCAAAAGCTGTACCAAATCTAGGTTTTTTTTGTGTGTTTTTTTAATACTCTGCACTGCATGCTCTGTCTATATGCATGCGTTTGGATAATAAATATTAAATATGGGGTGGGGAGAACATGTGGAATTCATAAAGTTAAAACTGAAACCAATCTGAACATTAAAAAATAGTACATTGTAGTTAGAGAAATGAATAAGGGCTAAAAATAAACTTGAGGTAACAATAGTGGCCCAATACCACCAATCTGAAATATCTGTTAGAATTCAAATAAGTGTTTGGAGATTCAAGTAACAAACCATCTGCTCCAACTTGGTCAGACTTCCCAGCCTTGCTGGGTTTTAGTCCATGAGCCGGCATTCACACAACTCCTTGTAAATCCTCTTCCGTACTCGGGGCATGTCTTCTTGGGAAAACTGGAAAGGCTGATCTAAGGCGAGGCACTTGCAGTACTGCAAAGGACCCAGAAACATTAAATGGCCTGTGGAGTTATGTACCAGCCCAATGTATTTTATCAGATGCAGACCTAATAAATAGTCTAAGGCAGCATTTTAAAATTTGTTTAAACTTGTTATAAAGCACTGTTTTAGAACATTTACCTCCAAATTATAGTTAACCTTCCATGTAAGTACATGGCCTGGGATGTCCCCCCATCCCCACTTAATACTATGAAAAGGGAAACTGACAAGAGGCTCCATTTCTTCTCAAGGTACAACTAGACCTCACATGGCCTATAACTGAGAACTTGAATTTTTCAAACCCCAGACATTCATGCGTCATATGAATGAGCCCATCTTCCCAGATCTTTGCAGTTCTAGAAATTCATGGATGGTATACCATAATTTCCTTCACATATATAATGTATAACAAAATTTCCAATAGCCTTTTGATCACTAAAGGAACCTACAGTATGAGAAAGCACAGCTATAGACCACTTGCCAATGGTTAAAAATAAATAGTTAATTTTTCAAATGCCAAGGGTCCATGATATGGACAAATTCAGATCAGTGTCCAATGTGGCTCACTACTAACTTCTGATAAGACATGTATGTTAGCAATTACTCATTCTTGGCCTTCAAAGATGGTTCTTCCTAATGATAACATCTGAAAATACAGAAACTACTGCTTCTTAACAAGAAAGGGAGGAAGGAAAAGTACCCTGTTAACTGTAGCTAGTACCATGTACACATCATGGGGACTCCCATCTCTCCTCTCTAAACCCAACAAATTTAATTCACACATTGTAAATTCTGAGGTTTTTTGTTGTTTGTTTTTTTTTACCTGGAGCACAAAGACTCCACAGTCACTGTCATTTTTCTGTTGTGGAATACACTGTGGGGGAAAAACAAAATGATCATTAAAATAAGACCAAATAATACTCTTTAGATAAGAAAATTTATTTTTATAAAAAAATAAGCAAGAGACATGAAATGTATCTTTATCCAGGACAGCTGGTGTATATTACTGGTTTATATATATATATATATATTTTATCACTGGTTTTTAAAGTGTTTGATTTTAGCCCTGCCTGGTGTGGCTCCGTTGGTTGAGCGTATCCCATGCACCGAAAGGTCGCTGGTTCAATTCCTGGTCATGGCACATGCCCAGATTGTGGGTTCAATCTCCGGGTGAGGTGCATGCATACTGGAGGAGGCAACCAATCACCCCTCCCTCCCTCTCTCTCTCTCTTTTTCTTTTTTTTTTTCTCTCTCTCTTTTTTTTTCTATCTCTCTCTCTCTCTCTCTCTCTCTCTCTCTCTCTCTCTCTCTCTCCCTCTCCCTCTCTCTCTCTTTCAAATAAATGCAAACGTATTTTTTTTTAAATAAAATATAAAATGTTTGACTTTATGGAGGCATCTGACCACATGAAAAAAGCTATCAACGAACCACAATTTATAGAACAATATGTTGCCTAGATAAAAGAAATGGGAAACAAAATAAAATACTATTTAAAAACTTCCATTTGGATAATTAGTTTCGCTATGAATATACTGACAATGGATTTGTGGATCAGAGAACATGTGCCCAGACTCTGAATACTTAGACAGTAACAATCCTGCTTAGCAGTCTTCACTTTTCATCTCATATTACACAACTCAGCCCTATTCTTCAAAAGAAATTGTAAAGGTAAATAACATGTTTTCAAAAGAACTGGTTACTGTATCCTGTCTAAAGTGGGAATATGAAAGGTCATGACTAAATTTAAGAGAATACCTACATATTCTAGTTGGGTAAATTCAGAAAATTTACAAGTTCAATTCTAGTTTGAATTAATATACTAAGTTATTTAAAACATAAAACTGAAGCTTAAGTTTCAAATTTAGCACTTGGTTCAGTTCAACAATGAATAAGTAAATCTTATCTATTTGTTATAAAGGTTTGTTTCAAAACCCTGCCTTTATAACGTGTCAATGATCCAGACAGACCTGAGTTCAACAATCTGGTCCTAGAACAGCTGTGGTGGCCTTTGGGGAAGGTCACACCCAGGCTTCAGTTTTCTCATCTAGAGAATAAAGAGGATACTTATCCCTAAATGACCCACTTACCTCACAGGCTGTAAGGATCATCAAATGAGATCACACAAGCAAAAACACTTTGAAAACATGAAAGCAGTGACCGTAAGACACTGGTATATGTAACAGGATTGGAAGCTCTGCCCTAGCACTGTGCCCCATATCCAGCTTTAAGTGTCTATGGGCCAAACAGTGCTGCTTCCGGATGGTGCTCACACTGGAACACCCAGGCCACTGTCTTCCCCAACTGCCTGGAAAGTAGCTCAGTGCACTTGCTCCCTTTAGTCGGTCCAAACAGTTGTTTCAGTATTTTCTCTGGGTCTATATGAATCTCCTGGAAATAAAAGCTATGAGGCAAAGGCAGATGCCACCAAAATTTTTTTTATAATAATCATATCATCATAAAAATAGTATAACCATATCATTAGCAGTTGCCCCAGGGATGAAATTACTAAACTTATTTGTTCTTAGCAAGCACTGGGAAACAACAGCCAGATGATGAACACTAAGGTTTTGAGCTTCCCGGGTCTTCATCACCAGGCTAAAAATGCTTTTAAAGACTCCTACTTCTTTGATAATTCCATCCCCTTGATATGCCTGGGTTTTCACATTTGTCACATACTTGCCTTTGTAACAGCAGTCTGCCAACCCTGAAGAAATTCAGGTCTATTTTTTTCTCTGGCTTCAGTCAGCAAATACTTTCTTATATTCTGGTTAAAAAGAAACAACAACACAGATACTATGTTCCATCAGTTGGTGAAAAATGGAACCTGCCCACAGCACACAGAAGCAGAAGAGGAGACTGTGGCCCCACCATTGGGCAGAGTATGCATGAACAAGTTTAAAGCCGGAACTTTATTTCAGACCTTTCACTCTATAGTATTAAGAAGGACTCTGACCCCCTGTACTCAGGTATGTATGCACTTAGACTGTGGACACTGATATATGTTGTAATAAGAACTTTTTATGAGATAGTCAGCCTTTTTCAGCGGTAAGTCAACCTGCTGAATTTCAAAGTTAAAAATTACTGCCAAAGCTCAATAAATGGAAGGAACTCATGGTAGAAATAAATAATAACTGAAACTAAATGAAAAACATTGTTTCCATATTTTTGAGAACTGCACGTAAAGGTATCATTCAATTTGTAGAGTTATAATTAAACCCATTCTAAATACTAAACAGAGTCAGAATCCTGAAATTTCTACCAAGATGAAGCCTACTGAAGTTTCAAATTTTCCCTCATGCCCTCAACCTCTTCATGCGTCTCTCTCTGAGTATCTCTTCTAAAGAGTAAAGTTGGCCCTGGCCAGTGTGGCTCAGTTGGTTGGACATCATCTTGTACACCAAAAGGTTGCTGGTTTGATTCCTGGTCAGGGCAAATGCCTGGGTTGCGGGCTCAATCCCTGGTGGGGGGTGTGCAGCAGGCAGCTGATTAATGTTCAGCTCTCCTATCAATGTTTCTCTTTCTCCCTCTGCCTTCCTCTCTCTCTAAAAATCAATAAAGCTATTAAAAAATAAAGTAATTGACCTTCCTTGAGGGGGAAAAAAAAAGGGTGCAGAGGTTTCATGAATTAAATTAACCCCCCTAAAGGAAGAGTAGATGTATGTGTGTATACATAAGTGTGTGTATATATATATACATACATATACTAGTATACACACATACATATATTATGCATATATATTTTTTATTGCCATAAACATGTTATACTGTATCATTCCTGCAACTTGCTTTTTTAAACTCAATTATGTCTTGGAGATCTTTCCATGTTAGAACGTGGAGATTTACTATATTCTTTTTAACTGCAATGATCAGTTTAACAGTATGACTAGAATGTACATATTTAGCTAATCTGTTGGCAGAACTAGATTTGGGTTGTTTGGATTTTTTCACTATTAGCAATAACGCTGCAATGAACATCCTGGTGTATGCCTCATTCTTGTATATAAATACATATTTTTATGGAGTAGATACCAAGAAATAGAATTGGTATGCAATAATTTACAAGGTACTTAGAACTGATTAGAATTGCAACTGTTCAAATATACATTCCACCAGAAAATATGAGAATGTCTGTTTCCTTACACCCACATTACCAACTGAATACCATTAAATTTTTCCTGATATAGCAGGCAAAAAATGGAACTGTATTTACATTTCCCATATTTCCTGTAAGGCCAAGCATCTCTCCATACATTTAATGGTTATCTGCATTTTTCCTAAAAATTACTTATTTTAACCTTTGTCTATTTCTATTAGATCCTTCTTTTTCTTAATCATTTGTAGAAGTACTTTATATATTCAGGACAGTGACTATTATATGTCACAAACACTTTCTTCAAGTCTACTCCTTGTCTTTTAACTTTATGGCATACAGAAGTTTTAAATTATGATGTTATAATTTATCAATCTGTTCCTTTCTATCTTTTGCTCTTTTGGTTCTGCGTAAGAATGCCTTCCTACTCTAAGAACATCACTTTTTCTGTATTTTACTCTAACTTTTACAGTTTTATATTTAGGTCATTATTCCATCTGAAATTTGTTTTTCTAAGATCTGTATTTTACTTTTCCAAGAAGACAGCTAATTTTCCCAATGGCAGATACTGAATAAGCTGTCCTTTCCCAACTTTATCATACACTAAGTTTCCACATATGCATCAGTTGTTTTTAGATTCTTTATGCTGTACCATCAGTTTACTCGTCTATTCCTAAATAAATATAAACATAGTTTTCACTATTAAAACTTTATGACATAGCTCTGACATAGCTCAGTTGGTTAGAGCATCATCCTGATATGCCAAGGTTGCAGGTTTGATCCCCATCAGGGCATATACAAGAATCAACCAGTGAATGCACAGATGGGTGGAACAACAAATCAATGTTTCTTTTCTTTCTTTCTCTCTCTCTCTCTCTCTCTCTCTCTCTCTCTCTCTTTCTCTCCCTCCAAAATCAATAAATATTTTTAAATTTTAATTTAAAGAAAAAAAATTATGATGTAGTTTGACATGTAGTAGACCAAGTAATCCTTCCTTCACTATTCTACTTCAAAACTATTTTAGCTGTTCATGCACGTGAATTCTGAAATACGAATTCCATGACAAGCTGATTAAGTTTATTTCAAAATCCTGATGGGAAACTAACTAGGACAGAAATTGGTATATATTAGTTTGGGGAGAACTGATCTCTTTCCAATACTGAGTGTGTCTATCTTTCCATCTATTCAGATTTCCTTTAAATACTTTAGTTTTCATCTTTAGAAATGTCCACATTTTTTTGCTAGGGTATATTCCTGGGTAATGTATGTCTTTGTTGCTTTTGAAAATGGAATCTTTCTGTTTTCAGTCACATGTTCTAACTGGTTCTTGCTGGTGCAGAGAGATTAAGAAACCAACTGAATTTTCTTTGTATCCCCCCGTCTGGTTGAATTCTCGTATTTGCCAGTTGATTCTCTTGGTTATAATTCATTCTAAAGAAGTTATTTTGAAGACACAGGCAAATTTCAGCTCTAAAGAGAACGATTTCTATCCACATTCAAAATAAAGTGTTAAGGGAAAGGCATAATAAAATGTGATAAAATCCAAATGAATCTCAGAGGATCCAGATTATAGACAGCCACCTGTCCTCACGTGGAGAGTCCTCTGGCAGTCCTTTTCTCTGCCAACATTTCAGAGGGGTTTTATGAGAGAAATCGATCCTCCGTGGTATCTAGTGCTAAGACAATATTTGGTCAGTCACAAGATAAAGGGAAAAAATGGGCATTATATTAACTTACCTCTACACAAAACTTAAAATGAATGCCTTGCGAATCATAAAATGAAATATTTCGGTTAGAAAGTGTCACAGTAATGAGAGACCAGTGAACTTCCAGGTGAATAGGAATCAACAGAAGACTCTTTTTAAATAAATCCACCTAATCGGGGGAAAAAAGAAAAAAAGAAATGCAGCCATCACCAAAGGCTATCCAAATCAACAATAATAAACAGCTGCTTCAATTTCCTGACCTCTGACTTGCCCAAAGTCATAAAACTAGGAAGTGGTGAAGCCAGAATTTGAACCCAGGTCTCAGTCTGAAGCACATATTGTAACTATTAAGCTATAATACACAATAAGAAAACTGATGATAGAGACAGCACCATTTTCCATTTAACCTGCTAAAGCTGTGCTTATCACCTGCCAGATATGATTTGGCCCCTTATTTTTATGCTTAACTAATTTTCTTGTGTTCATATTTAACCTCAACTCAATTCTTATTTAGGAAGGAGTCATGGTATTAGAAAATATGGCTATACAGCTTTTATCTTTCTACAGACTCAGTATAGTAGTTAAGATTGTGGGCTCTGAAGTAAGTCTGGTCAAGTTCAAATTGTGGCTCTTCCACTTACTGGCCAGATAACTGGCAATTTTCATAGCTTCTTTGTGCTTTGATTTCTTCAGTATAAAATACAGATAACAATAGTACCGACCTTATAAAGTTCTTGAGAGTTATAATAAATGTAAAATGCAAAGAACTGTGCTCAGCACATGATATGTAACTAATAAATCTTAGCTATTACCATTATTACTACCTCGGATCTCCCAGGTGTCAAAATTGAGAAAAGTATCCTTGATAATACTTCACATATCCTATATATCCTAATCCATCCTTTATATCCCAATATGTCCTTTGCAATCTAGGAATATTTGCTATTCCACTCAAAATCCTAGTGTGGATGATATAGTAGTAGGTGTTTAATAAACATTTGTAAGAGAGTTAATAAATTTCTTTTTTTCAGGTATTTTTAAAGATTATTTTAGATATTCCTTGGGTTAAAACAATTACAAGGCTATTTTAAAATACATCAGATTCTTTTTATTTTTTAATTTATTAGGGCGATACTGGTTAACAAAATTATACAGATTTCAGGTGCATAATTCTACAACACATCACCTGTACACTATACTGTGTGTTGACCACCCCAAGTCAAGTCTCCTTACATCACCACTCCCCCCGCCCCCACTTCCCCGCACAACCGCACCAGATTCTTAGCAATGTTCTCAAGCCTTCCTTGCTTTCTGATATTCAGATAATGTCCTGCTCTAGATGAATCTTCTGCTAGTCTACATGACCTTAGAGCAGTGGTTCTCAACCTTGGCTGCACATTAGAATCAGCTGGGAATCTTTTTAAAATCCTGATTTCTAGGCCTCATCCTCCAGAAATTCTGTCTCTTTGTTATTCAATTACACCAAATTTATATTCTTCTCAAAAAGAAACCTTTGGGGAGGAATATACAGCCAGGCTGAAGCTTCCTACAGAGAGAGGTAGCCTCTGGAAGCTGAGGGCTCCAGTCCTGCCACTACAGGAACTGAATTCTGCCAACAACCTGAATGAGCTTGGAAGATGAGAATGGAGTCTGGCTGAATCCTCGACTGCAGCTTATTGAGTCCCTGAGCAGAGGATGCAGTCAAGCCACGCCTCGATTCCTGAGCATGGGAACTGAGATAATGGCAACATCTCAGCATATGAATCTGGGAAACAGGTGAATGAGAGTGGCCCTGCACTGTTCCCCAGGTGGCCTTTTAAAGGTCAGTTGTTTGCAGATTGGAGAATGTATTGATTCCATCCTAGCCAGGAGTGGTATGGCATGCTGTCTGAGGTTCCCAAAGCATCCCCAAATACCCTGTGTTGGGTCTACAACAAACAGAAAGGAAAGTGCCAAGCGTTAAGACCCTCCAGAAATTCTCTGGACCAACCTGATCCTCCCAAACACTGAATCATACAACTTAAGAAGCTCCAAAAGCTGGACCACCAAGGTTCACAACATCTGTAACACGTGGCTGGAGAGAACCTAACCAGAACCGCTTTATACGCTTTTAATGATTAAAAAATAGTAAGATTTTTGGAAAACAGTATGGTGATCCCTCAAAATATTAAGAAGGGAACTACCATATGATGCAGCTGTTCCACTCTGGGCATTCATCCCCATAGACTGCGACATTATTTACAATAGGCAAGATGTGGAAGCACCTAATGTCCATAAATGGATGAACGGATAAAGAAGATGTGGTATGTAAATAGACTGAAGTATTATTCAGCCACAGGAAAGAATAAAATCTTGCCCTAACCGGTTTGGCTCAGTGGATGGAGCGCCGGCCTGTGGACTCGGGGGTCCCAGGTTCGATTCCGGTCCAGGACATGTACCTTGGTTGCGGGCACATACCCATTAAGGAATGTGCAGGAGGCAACTGATCGATGTTTCTCTCTCATCAATGTTTCTAACTCTCTGTCCCTCTCCCTTCCTCTCTGTAAAAAATCAATAAAATATATTAAAAAAAAAAAAAAGAATAAAATCTTGCCCTTTGCAACAACCTGAATGGAGTTTGAGGGTATTATGCCAAGTGAAATAAGTCAGATGAAGAAAGACAAATACCACATGATTTCACTTATATGTGGAATCTAAAAGAAAACCCCAAACAAAAACCCAATCTCAGAAATACAGAGAACAGATTGGTGATTACTAGATTGGAAGAGGGTTCAAGGTGGGCAATATGAGTGAAGAGGTCAATTGAGTGGTGACGGATAATAACTAGATTTTTGATGGCAATCATTTTGTAGTGTATACAGATGCCAAATTATATTGTACACCTGAAACTTACAGAATATTATATACCAATTTTCCCTCAATAAGAAAATAAGAGAGGAAAAACACCAAACTTTTTAAATTATAGAAACAATTTTTAACATAAGAATTAGCCCTGGGCGGGGTGGCTCGGTTGCAGCGTCATTCCCGTACACTGAAGAATTGTGGGTTTCATTCCCAGTCAGGTTGCGGGTTCCATTCCCGGTGGAGGTGCATGTGGGAGACTAATTGATGTCTCTCTCTCTCTCTCTCTCTCTCTCTCTCTCTCTCTCTCTCTCTCTCCTCCCTCCCTCCCTCCTTCCCTCCCTCTTCCTTCCTCGCTCTCAAATAAATTAAAAAATAAAAATTAGAAAATTACAGATGAAAATATAAAACTTCAGTGTGTATCTTTCCAGATCTTTTTCTTTTTTCTAATATATTAATGTACACACACACACACACACACACACACACACACACACACAGTTTTACACGTATAATTAAGAGTGATGGCCCTGGCCGGGTGGCTCAGTTGGTTGGAGCATCATCTCATTTACCAAAAGAATGCAGGTTCAATTCCAGGTCAGGGCACATACCTAGGTTGCAGGTTAAATTAATATATTAGAAAAAAGAAGAAAAAGATCTGGAAAGATACACACTGAAGTTTTATATTTTCATCTGTAATTTTCTAATTTTTATTTTTTAATTTATTTGAGAGCGAGAAAGGAAGAGGGAGGGAGAGGGAGAGGGAGAGGGAGAGGGAGAGGGAGAGGGAGAGGGAGAGGGAGAGGGAGAGGGAGAGGGAGAGGGAGAGGGAGAGGGAGAGGGAGAGGGAGAGGGAGAGGGAGAGGGAGAGGGAGAGGGAGAGGGAGAGGGAGAGGGAGAGGGAGAGGGAGAGGGAGAGGGAGAGGGAGAGGGAGAGGGAGAGGGAGATACATGGTACATGTACGGGAGGTAACCAATCAATGTTTCTCTCTCACGTGGATGTTTCTCTCTCTCTTTCTCCTTTCCTCTCTCTCTAAAATTACTAAAAATATATCCTCAGCTGAGGATTAAAAAAAAAAAAGTGAAGAACCGTATCTATGCTGCCTACAAAACACTCACTTCAGAACTAAAGACACACATCATGAAGGGACTGAAAAAAATATTTCATGAAAATGGAAATGAATAGAAAGCTAGAGTAGCAATACTAATATTAGACAACATAAACTTTAAACAAGGAAGGGCATTATATAATGATAAAGGGATCAATCCAACAAGAGGATATAGCACTTGTAAACATCAATGTACCCCAAATAGGAACACCTATACATAAAGCAAATATTAGCTGGAATAAAGAGAGAGATTGACAGTATTATAATAATAGTAGGGGACTTTAACCCCTCACTTACAATGGATAGAAATAACAAGGAGCCCAGCCAGTGTGGCTCAATGGATTGAGCACCATCCTATGTACCAAGAGGTCACTGGTTTGATTCTTGGACAGGGCACATGCCCGGATTGTGGGCTTGATCCCCAGTAGGGTATGTGCAGGAGGCAGCCGATCTATGTTTCTCTCTCATCGATGTTACTCTCTCTTGCCCTCTCCTTTCCTCTCTATCTAAAAAAACAACAACACACAACCATAATTTAAAGAAATAAAATAAAAAGAACTAACAAGGAAACTCTGGCCTTAAATGACACATTATACCACATGGAATTAATAAATATATACAAAACATTACATCCCAAAAGAACAGAATACACATTCTTTTCAAGTGTATATAGAACACTCTCCAGGCCAGATCACATGTTAGTCCACAAAAAGTCTCAATAAATTTAAGACTGAAATTATATCAAGCACTGTTTTCTACCATAATGCTATGGATCTAGAAAACAATGATAAGACAAAAACTGGAAAAAACACATAAACACATGGAGGCTAAAAAACATGCTATTAGCCTGGCTGGTGTAGCTCAGTGGTTGAGTGTCGACCTATGAACCAGGGGTGACAGTTCAATTCCTGGTGGGGGCACATGCCCGGCTTGCAGGCTGGTCCCCAGTAGGGGACATGCAGGAGGCAGCTGATCAATGATTCTTTCTCATCACTGATGTGTCTATCTCTCTCTCCCTCTCCTTTCCTCTCTGAATTCAATAAAAAAATATTTTTAAAAAATGCCATTAAACCACCAATGAGTAAAAAGAGGAATTAAAAATGTATCTTGAGACAAATGAAAATGGAAACACACATTCCAAAATCTATGTAATATAGCAAAGGCAGTTCTAAGAAGAAAGTTTATACTGATACAGGAGTACCTCAAGAAACAAGAAAAA